GGTGGAAGGAGAGAGGGAAGTAGGAATAGGGGAGTGGGGACTTTTAGGGAAGGGAGAGGAAAGTGTAGGAGAGAAGGAAATGAGATGCTCACTGTATATTCCTTGTGGATCCCTGCTTGTCATTATCTAATACTGCAGATTTTTATATAAGAAAATCTTTGTACTAACACATTCTAAATAAGTTTTTAAAAAGTCTTTAAAAAAGCATGTCATTAATTCCAAAAGACAAAAATTTAACAGAAGGAATTTTTAGTGTTCTCCAAAATTTCCAACAGACAATGAAGTCCTCAGGGGAAAAAATATATTTTTTAGTCTTTCTTTAATGCTACCATATGTCCAATTATAAGTATCTTATTTCATCTACATTTGATTTTTAAATTGTCCTCCCTTCTAGACATTGTTGACCTATCCATGGTTCCATAACATCTAGACAGGACTACTGCAAAGTGCCCTTTGTGGGACTGCCCCTGGAAATTTCAATTAGTACAGAACGAATGTATTAATTCAAATATTTGTATCCTATTGGGGATATCCACAGCTGATGTTGATGATTTAGGGATAACAGCTTCATGAACTCTTATAATAAAGAGCCTGTATGAACTGGATCCCCCTCATGGATCACTGCCTTGTCGTGGCGAGGGGGCTTGTGTGGTTCGATGAAGCTGTGGGCTATGCCGTGAAGGGCCACCCAAGACGGAAAGTAGTAGAAGAAAACAATAGAATGGGAAGGACTAGAGATCTCTTCAAGAAAATTGGAGAAATCAAGGGAGCGTTCCATGCAAAGATGGCCATGATAAAGGACAAAAACGGTAGTGACCTAACAGAAGCAGAAGAGATTAGGAAAAGATGGCAAGAATACACAGAACTATACAAGAAAGACCTCAATGTCCTTGACAACCAAGACGGTATAATCACTGCCCTCGAGCCAGACATCCTGGAATGTGAAGTTAAATGGGCCTTAGAAAGCATTACTAACAACAAAGCTAGTGGAGGTGATGGTATTCCAGCTGAGCTATTCAAAGTCTTAGAAGATGATGCTGTTAAAGTGCTGCACTCCATTTGCCAGCAAATTTGGACAATGCAACAGTGGCCACAGGATTGGAAAAGGTCAGTATACATTCCAATCCCAAAGAAGGGCAATGCCAAGGAATGTTCAAACTATCGCACAATTGCACTCATATCACACGCTAGCAAGGTCATGCTCAAGATCCTACAAGCTAGGCTTCAGCAGTACGTGGATAGAGAACTGCCAGAAGTACAAGCTGGGTTTCGAAGAGGTAGAGGAACTAGAGATCAAATTGCCAACATTCGCTGGATTATGGAGAAAGCAAGAGAGTACCAGAAAAACATCTACTTCTGCTTCATTGACTATGCTAAAGCCTTTGACTGTGTGGATCACAACAAACTATGGCAGGTCCTTAAAGAGATGGGAGTACCAGACCACCTCACATGTCTCTTGAGAAACCTGTATAAGGGCCAAGAAGCGACAGTTAGAACCGGATACGGAACAACTGATTGGTTCAGCATAGGAAAAGGAGTACGACAAGGATGTATACTGTCACCTTGCTTATTTAATATATATGCAGAGTACATCATGCGAAATGCTGGCCTGGATGAATCACAAGCGGGAATTAAGATTGCTGGGGAAAAGATCAACAACCTCAGATATGCAGATGATACCACTCTAATGGCTGAAAGTGAAAAGGATCTAAAGAGCCTCTTGCTCAGAGTAAAAGAGGAGAGCGCAAAAGTGGGCTTGAAGCTCAACATCAAAAAAACTAAGATCATGGCATCCGGCCCCATCACTCCTTGGCAAATAGAAGGGGAAGTCGTGGAAGTAGTGACAGACTTCACGTTCCTGGGATCCCAGATCACCGCAGACTGTGACTGCAGCCATGAAATTAAAAGACGCCTGCTCCTTGGGAGGAAAGCGATGGTGAACCTAAACAGCATGATAAAAAGTAGAGACATCACCCTGCCAACAAAAGTCCGCATGGTCAAAGCAATGGTATTCCCAGTAGTCATGTATGGCTGTGAGAGTTGGACTATAAGGAAGGCCAAGCGCCGAAGAATAGATTCTTTTGAACTATGGTGCTGGAGAAGACTCTTGAGAGTCCCTTGGACTGCAAGAAGAACAAATCAGTCAATCCTAAAAGAAATCAACCCTGACTGTTCCCTGGAAGGCCAGATAATGAAACTGAAGCTCAAATACTTTGGCCACCAAATGAGAAGGGAGCACTCACTGGAGAAGACCCTGATGCTGGGAAAGATTGAAGGTCAAAGAAGACGGGGACGGCAAAGGATGAGATGGTTAGACAGTGTCATCGATGCAACAAACATGAAATTGAGCCAACTTCAGAGGACGGCAGAAGACAGGAGGGCCTGGCGGGAGATGATTCATGGGGTCACGAAGAGTCGGGCTCGACTGTGCGACTGAACAACAACAAAATGAACTGGATTTCCTAATTACTAGTAGGAGACAGAATCACAGAATCATAGAGTTGAAAGGGACCTCCTGGGGCATCTAGTCCAACTCCCTGCACAATGCAGGAAATTCACAAATACCCCCACACACACCCCCAGTGACTGCTGTTCCACCCCCAGAAGATGACAAAAAACCTCCAGGATCTCCAGCCAAACTGGAGATCCCATAAAGTATGTTCTCCATTATACTTGGGGTTTTCCCTGTCAAACTCCTTGCTATTATAGTTTGAGTTTTTGAAAGTGCTCAGATATAGAAGACTATTTATGTTGGCTCAACTGAATGCTGTCCCTTAGGAAGAAATGATAGGCTGTCAGGGGAGGATTCCCTTCGCAGACAGGCTTCGTAACTGCGCAACAGGAAAGACTGGCACTCTAGACCATTGTTTATTTGTATGTGCCTAGTTTATTTCAGTCAGACAGCGCTGGATCTCCCCTTTTCTCCATGATATGGCAAAGGATTGCTAAATTACTGGCCAGAACAGCAGTTAAAACTACCCTGGCAGTCGGAAAGGTTTTTTTATTGTTATTAAACATAAAAATAGGAGGGTTGATGTTTAGTTGATTTTAATATTTCTGGCCTATCTCATCTCACCTTTCAAGGTGGCTTACAAATCACAATTTAAAACATGCAGAATAAAACACCAGTAGATACCTGCAGTCTATACCCCACTAAAAACCTTGACAAATAAAATACCCTTGCAGCACTTCCTAAAAATTTCTAGAGACGGGACCCCCTGTAACCTGTGGCCAATCGCTCTGCGGAAGAGATATGTGGCACCACCCAACAGTAGACTAAATTGCTGAACAGCACTAGATTTTAACTGTATTGTACGTATTTTATTATGTATTGATATATATGTTGTACACCACCCTGAGTCTTGCTTGCGGGAAAAGGAGTGGGATAGAAATAAACTAAACTAACTAAACTTTGTTAGGGTGCTTTGATGTTATGCATATTGCACCAATTTGAAAGCAGTTGCACTGGTTAACTATTTTTTCCCACCTGAACTTCAAAGTGCTGCCATTGACCTTAAAAGCCCTTCACAGTGTGGGACCTACATATCTGCAGGATTGCCTCTCCTTGTTAATTGCAATCCTTGCAGTTATTTCAGTTTCAGTCCCTCCTCTGGCACAGTCTGTCTCTGTCCCCAGAGTTTTAAAATTACTGCCCTAGCACAGAACAGTCTTCTGGAGATGGTATGCAAGGATGGACTTTCATAAAACCTGCAAAACTGCCCTTTTCCAAAGGGTCTTTTTGTGATGGAACAATATCCCAAACCAGCCCAGAACTGTATTTTGGCAGGCACTGTTAAAAGGAGGAAAATTATTTTTATTTGCATCTGGAAGTGAGCTTTGATGGGAATAAATATCGTTAAGTCTTTAAGATGCCACTTGACTTTTGTTTCAGTCAAATAATGTACCAACCGCTGCTGTTGCATAATGTTTCTTAACTTTGTTCCTTGATCTGTGTTCGTGATTATAAACCACTTTGGACTAACGGAGTCTCTAAAGATTTTTTAAAATAAATAACACTTCTATAACCATTTAATTATTTGGTAGCTGGCAGTTTTGATCTTGTCTGTAAATTGGAAGCTACTTCGGAAGTCAATTTGACTGGCAGTGCAGCATATGCACAAAGCATATGAAAAAGAAAATAATATAGCCCTCGAATTTATTAGTGACAGCCGTCTCAACAATGATTATTAAAATCAATTAATGATAAAGAGTCTTAGTAATACTAAAAATAGGCTAATACTATAATTAACAAATCATTAACAAATGTGTATTAAAGTGTATATAATAATAAAGTAGACGAGGAACAATAATAAATAAGCTTCCAATCAGAAATACAATGGAAGAAGCTTCTGCATGGAGCCCACATCCCAACTAAAGTATCCTGGCCAATGCTAAAAAAAAAAAATGACCCTTCCAGCTTCTATTAACTAGATATTAAGCCCCACACCCAGGACAGCTCATATCTGCCACTGGGCCCCGTGCCCTGAATAAAACATAAATGTAGCTGCATAGATTTCGTTTACTTCCCCCCTTTAATTTGCCCCGCCTTTCCCCTACTCCCCGGACTGAGCATGGCTAAGTGCCAACAGGGCTTGGAAAGGAGCCACGCCGAACCCGGTACTCTGCATAACCACCACTTCTTATGCCACCCTGAAATCTGCATGGCTATCTTATCCGACACCTCTTCCCAGCATCAAAAGCGTTCGTTATGCAGGGTTCCGGGTTTCCTTCTGTCCTCTACTTCCACCGCTCCCCCAACCCTCCGTACGCACACAATGGCAACGGCCCACGCAGGTTTGGCCTTAAGAGGAACCGGGCTGAACCATAATATGGCGGGGGGGGAGGAGATCTAGAGAGCAGGAGCGAGTCGTGTGCAAAGCTTCGGTTGGAACGCGTTTAGTTTTGGGAGATACCATTCGAGGCCCAAGCCCGCCCTTCCCCTCATTTCTCTCCCGCCCCCGCCTGGGGGGGAGGTGGACGCCGCCGGCGCTCGTACTCACCTCAGCATCCACTGTGGCCATGGCCGGAGCAGCCCCGGAGCGTGGCCCCGCCCCTTTCGGAGACTTCCCTCGCTCGCTGCGCGCGCGCCCCTCCCCCACCCACTTCATTCATTCGCGAGGGAGGGAAACACCCGCCTCCTCCCGAGAGTGGCTGCGCGTGCGCCACCCCCACATAATGGCGTCTCCCATGAGGTTCTCTTGCCGTACAGCGATCTTTCGCGCGTGGCGCTAGGGAAGCACGTGGCCACGCGGGGCGGGGGGAGTTGGCCGCAGCTGGTCGGAGGCGGAGGGAAGATAAAGCATCGCCAGGATCCAGGGTTCCTTTTGTACGAAGACTCAGGCAACTCTTCTCAAGGTCATGGTGGGAGAACGCAACCTATTCCCTAAATTAGAAACCGTGCAAAGAAGTGAGCGACCGAGTGTCTGCCTCCTTCAGTAATAATTGGTTTCCACCAGATCTATATGAAAACAATGTCTGCATGGCTTCTCGTAGGGCAACTGGAGTCTATGGGGTGGGGCAAGGAAATGATGCAAAAAGAAAATGAAGACGGCAAAGAACGCCTCTGCACACTTTAAATAGATTTATAGTGAGGCATAAGCTTTCCTGGGCCGCCAACCCTCTTGATCGGAGGCATGCTGTCGTCAACCTCAATCATCACAGGGACTTGTTTTTTTGTTATTTTTTTAATCCTGCTTTTCACTCCCATGGCGGCTTGCAGGATCCAAAATCCAATGCGAATGACAAAGTAGAAAAAGTGTTCCCGGGAGAGGGGATTCTCAGCTGGAGCTGGATCCAAGCTCATAGTGGACAGGTGCCTGTTTGCTTCTTACCTGTGATCTGATGTCATTGGTGGCAGTTGAAACAATATCTGGAGAAAAGAAATGCTGACACAACAGGAGGAGCAGTTTCTACAAAGTGAGGCCAGAAGGGCTAGCAAATCAAGGGACAGATGTGTGTCACATGACAAGGAGACCTAGTAAAAAATCCAATTAGAGAGGGTGTGACCCACAACCAACGGCTGGTGAAGAACTGGCAAAAACCAGGTACATAGTGTACATCAACACCTAAATCTGATGAGGTGAACTTTGGCTCAAAAAAATTGATTAATCTTTAAGGTGCTGCTGATCTGTTTTATTTTGCTCCAACAGACTAATAGGGCTACACCTTCAGAATTAACGCACCAAGAAAGAGAATTGCTTTCTGGAGTCAGTTACTTCCAGTGCCTCTGGAGCCTACTACTGATAGGGTCAAATTTGCCAATGAACTCCCAGCACAGCAGCTTCATGTCTGAATTTCCTTTTCAATGAGCAACATTTCACTAATCCGGCCCATTTTAAATAAACACACAAGGCATTTTTCCTTGTTATTTCTTGGATCTGTTATTCTGCATTAAAAAAAAAATGTTTAAAATCCCTGGATTCTCTTCTATAGATTTCAGGCTTAGTTTAAATGCCCATTTTGCAGAATGGTTGCATGAAACTTCAACAAATGGAATACCTTTCAACTTCCTGGATGGTTAAAAAGAGAGAGAGAGAGAGAGACCATCTGGCTGCTTCTACTGCAATTCTTACATCACTTTATCTGCCTGTGGGGGTGGGAGGGAGGGAGGAGGTTTGACTGAAAGACATCATCTTCCCCAGGGATACCCAGTGATCTAGCTAAGCAGGGATTTTGCCCTGGTTTTCTTGTGTCAAATCCTGCACTCTAGCTAGTATTATAGCGACCGTGGAACGAATAATTCCTTTCTTTTTTTTTACTGCCATAAGGTCTTGTTAAAAAAAACTTCACTAGTGAGAATTAAGTGTGTACACTTACAGAACACCAAATGAAGGAAATGACAACACCATCTGGCAAGCAGGAGTAAGATTATTACCACCAGTCTCTCCTTGGACTCTGTGAAGCGCCAAGCGCATTGGCAGCACTGATTGCTTGATTTTAATACTATTAAATATAATAACTTGGAAAAACATGCCCTCAGTTCAATTAGGGTCAAAGTTCGGGTTTAATTGAAGAACCAATGACAGAATCCCTAAAGAACAAAGTTTGAGTCCAGTGGCACCTTTAAGACCAACAAAGTTTATCTTAACCTACCTCAAATATTTAAAGAAGTGTGCACGCACACGAAAGCTTATACCCAGAATGACACTTTGTTAGACTCCTCTTGTTGTTCAGAGTAGCAGACTCCTAAATTTGTTGTAGTTTAAACCTGACTCCATTATTTGGGATTTATAGTTCAAAAGTCATTCTTATCTATGGGAACAGATCTGATACTACATTAGTATGTTACTATGTTATAACTATTGATGTATGATGACAACTTTGTTGGTGATTAACTGGCTGGCTTGTAATGTTGGATTCTCAGAACTTTTGTATACTGTTTTGCAGGTATTGTACATGTTATAAGTTATACTTGCTCTTAATAAATATTAAAAAATTAAAAAAATAAGGTGCCACTGGACTCGAACGTTGTTCTGTTGCTTCAGACCAACACGGCTGCGGCCCACCAGGATACCTAAATGCACAGTCTAGCCTTGAAAAGCAGGGCTAGGGAGGAAACGGCCAATCCTTTTCCTTGCACCGTTTTCCCAGTTGACGGGGGGGGCACTAATATAGCTCTCTTAGAAAAAAAGACAGGCACTCGATATTTTTCTTTGCATGGTTCAACGTCAGCCTGGGGAGGAGGCAACTTCATTCCCTGACACAATGTGCAGGAACAGGGTTTTTAACCCACCCCCCCCACCCCCAGGGCAACAGCCAGTTCAACACTACAATCCCTGAATCACATACCATAGGAGCCAACCCCGGGTCTCCAATACATGGCATCTTGCACTCAACGATGATCAGACCAAATTCACACAAGCTAGTTTTCAGCCCCCCCCCCTCCTCAGTGTGCATATGTGAAAAACACATAGGGTTGCCACTTGCCAGCTCTGGATTGAGAAATTCCTGGAGATTTGGGGGGTGGAGCCTGAGGACAGTGGGGCTTGGGGAGGGGTCGGACCTCGTTGTTGTTCAGTCACACAGTCGAGTCCCGACTCTTCGCAACTCCATGGACCGCCATCCTTGAATTTTGCTCAATTTCATGTTCATTGCATCTATGACACTGTCTAACCATCTCATCCTTTGCCGTCCCCGTCTTCTTTGACCTTCGATCTTTCCCAGCATCAGGGTCTTCTCCAGTGAGTGCTCCCTTCTCATTTGGTGGCCAAAGTATTTGAGCTTCAGTTTCATTATCTGGCCTTCCAGGGAACAGTCAGGGTTGATTTCTTTGAGGATTGACTGATTTGATCCCCTTGCAGTCCAAGGGACTCTCAAGAGTCTTCTCCAGCACCATAGTTCAAAAGAATCTATTCTTCGGCGCTCGGCCTTCCTTATAGTCCAACTCTCGCAGCCATACATGAGTACTAGGAATACCATTGCTTTGACCATGCGGACTTTTGTTGGCAGGGTATAATTCCATAATTTTGTTGGCAGGGACCTCAGAAGGGTATAATTTCATAGACTCCACCCTTCAAAGCAGCCATTTTCTCCAGGGGGAACTCATCCTGGTCAGGCAGATTTTAAATGCACTTGGCTCTGGTTTCTAAATCAACTGATGACCATGTAGGAAGGCAGATTTACAGTCTTGTGTCTATTCGCTTCATTTATTCCGCGCCTTTCTCCCCAAAGGAGTTTATGTCGTTCTTCTCGCCTCCTCCTGCTTTACAATCTGGAGGTAATTTCAGTCAAGCTTCAGTAGGCAAAGGACATCCCAGAAAAGGTGGCTTTTGAAGACTGGTGTGGAGGAAGGAAGGCAGGCAGCATCACACAGGTGTTCAGGGGGGTATGACATCAAAATAGTTTAAAAAATATTGATAATAGTGCTAAGACACAGGCAGAGACATACCTCAAAGGGTCAAAACCGCACAGAATTATTGAAATGTCTTGAAATGTATTTAAAGATGCATTTTGTTTTTGTTTTGTTTGCATTTTGTTTTCAGAACCTCTTATGAGTCATACCAATGACCAGTGTTCCCTCTAAGCTGAGTTAGTGTGAGCTAGCTCACAGTTTTTTAGCCTCCGGCTCACACATTTTTGTCTTCGCTCAGGAAGGAGGGCTCCAGAGCAAACTGATTGATGCAGCAGCCAAATCGCTCGCTCACAACTTTGAGGCCAGTAGCTCACACAGTAGAATTTTTGCTCACAAGACTCCACAGCTTAGAGGGAGCATTGCCAATGACCCTTTTGGATACATGGTGGCAAAAAATAAAACTTGTCAGCTTGCAAAATGTTAACCTGGTCTAAAAATGGATTTTAAGATATCGGTCCTTTGTAGCTTTGGTTTTGCTGAAGTTGGAGCAGGACGCTTGGAGGCTGCCCTGTCATCACGATATAGCAGAACAATCTGTAGACTTCACGACAATATGGGTAGCCCAATGAAATGCCTCTGATTTAAAAAAAAAAAACCTTACTTCCTTCTGTAGTCAGAGGCAGTATGCGGTGAAACTTAACCAGATAGGTGAAAGTGGTTAGGGAAAAAAAAGGTGAGGGAAAGAGTGAGCATTGCCTGCTGGGAAATGGGAAGTGTTGAGTTTGCACATATTCAGTATCACTGAGTTAGAAAAGTGAACATATTGTTGGAATATGCATGGTCTGTAGTACAGCCCCGTGAAGAAGATATGAAGACTACCCTGCAGGAGGGCAAGTTAAAGGATTTGTAGTTAGCACAGCAAGATTAGCAACTGCCCATAATTTCAAATTGTGTCCTTGCTATCTCCTGATTGGCTCTTCTGGAGACTTCCTGCTCCTGCAGAGCTTCCTGTTGTTCTTTGCTCCTCTCACAGCAGTTAGACTGGCTGGTATTTAGGCTTTCTCTCTGCATGTTCTATAACAGTTTGCTCTTCTGTAATAAACCTACTTATTTTCCTCCAAACTGTCAGTTTTCCACTTTCTTGCTTATTTAAACTCTGCCAACACATACAGAACCTACCTCATATTGTATTAAACCGGGATCCGTGGGTGGGTGGGTCCCAGCAGGGCCTCTCTGATTTACCACTGTAAC